TATTTAACATTTATTCAAATGTCCATACATTGTAATGCCTCACCTTGTTTAATGTGTTGACAGCTTATTAGGAGCACGCGAGATCCTGCTCGTGTTGTGTTACTTGTTTTATTCAAATGACGTAAGGTGAAAGGATATTCTACGACATTTAACCTTATTTAGGACTATATCTGCCACCAATAATTTTCACGGCACGATTTCATACACTCATAAAGTGCTCAGTCTGCGGTAACTGGTGTGATAAATATACCCAGAAAATGATTCAGGATGCAAATCACTCTTGCTTCAAATTTTCCTCAATTGTTTGGAGATTCCGACGAAATCTCGCTAGCCTCATGCTCAAGAACCTACTGAACGTGATCTAATGCTAAGTATATCCGAGTCTTAATCAATTTATAAGCAGTCAGCAAGTTAAAATATTGCCCGAACATCGTTTATGCTGACAATATCATATGTCTAATTTAGAAGATTTACGTGGGGCGAATGAACGACGATGACAAAAGAAAAGTAAAACCTGTAAATATGCTAGATATCAGTATAGGAAAAGTAAATATCATCTCTCTTCAAACTCCGTTAGCCTATTGAGAACAGAAAATGTACAAAAACGTTTTCGCTGTAACAACCACTTTGATCTTAATGAAGATCGGACGCAGCATACCTTATTCGCTTGACATCGATCTGCTACTTTCGTGAAGGATAGAGCTGAATTCAAGAATATTGCCAGGGGATATGGTAGCCGAAGTTACCATGGCTATGATTCCGTCGGATAGAATTACGGTTACAATTTACCAAACCATTTACATTAACTTGGTGGTTGAAAGACCCCAAACTCGATAGAAAGGAAAAAGCTGAACCGCACTGGTCTGTTAATAATTTACACTATATAATTCGGTGAAGTATGCTTTGTACTCAGATGTCATCTGTTTATACCACTCAGAACGTGGCGTAGTCAAGTTTCTCTGAAGCAATCACTTAGTTCGACCTATCAGAGTCTACCACTTTCGGAGCTTTCAGGTTGATCTGGATCAAATGTTTTGCCGTACACCTCGTCGGCATTCAGGAGTTCAGACAAAAGTTGGTGTCGTTCTGATTTGCAGTCATTGGGTACAATGGCACGAGTATCCAGGATGCCGGAACGAATTGTTGGTTGTGAAGACTCCCCTGATTGAATGGCTGAACTGTCACGCTCTTTTAGAGCGCCAATTAAATAACACAACAGAGGTATGGGTCTGTCTACAGGAAGATCCGGTTGAGTGGACTGGTCTTTCGTGGAATTAAGACCACGCAACGCTTTCACATTTACAACGGGACGCAGTTGTAGTGTTTGACACAGGGTCTGTCGAGACATCTTGAGTTCTCCGTGCCCAGACTCTTTGCGAAAAACCGACTCGGTATAGTCCAAACTGAAAATTATGAGCAACGAAATAAAAATGGAATGTTCATTTAGTTGTCTTCGTTCGGAACACAATGAGGACATCGTTTATAGCAGGAAAATGTCTACCGAACATTGAACACATATTGAATCAATCCATTTTGTTTGTGCTTAAAATAAAAGTGTACATCTGGGCTACTTTGCTCCACACGTCCCCTTCTTGACGAACGGAAAACCACCTTGCAAATCATAAGTTCACTAATCGGAATGAATATGCGGTGAAATTCAAACGCAATCGAAATCTATGTAGGAGCTAAATTAAACAATACTTCAACCGGCAACAAAAGGGTGGTGGTAGCCGAGTGGTAAAAGCCAACAAATTATAAACCCAAGGGATGTGTGTTCTAATTCCACCACCACCATCACCTGACTTTCCCCATTCTGTGTTGTACGACAGCCATTTGATTGGCAGCTTACCCTTTTCTGAAAATTGTATCACTGTGTTCAATAAAAGGAATTAAAATGAAAAAAGATGTCTTAGTTGGGGTAAAATGGAACGCATACTATCTCTCCAAAATTTTTCGTCACAAGAAGCGACTAAGCTCATCTGCCTTGGCCTTGAAATTTCCTAATGATGCCCCAGTTACTTTGCTTGATCAGATTGAGGCTACCTTTTGTATCCACTTTTGATAAATTTTCAACCGCGCTCCATCTGGTTTCTTTCTCCTCTTTATGCAAAGACAGGCCTATACCCATTTGAACACATCACCATCTCAACTGAGAAGTTACACAAACTTCTCAAGTCACTAAACCTTTCAGTCTAGTGGGCCAAATGAGGTTCACTTCAGATACTAAAATAGAGAGCAACGGTGTTGGCCCTATACTACAAACATTTGTTCAAAACTCAATGGAAGCCTTAAAACGAACAATCATATATTTCTTACACAATAAGGGTTCAGGCACCTCCCTAGCGGATACAGACTTATTAGTCTAACGATTATCCTTGGTGAGATTTCGGAACGCCCCCATTAGGAGGAGGGTCTTGGTTATCTGAAGAAGAAGGAAAAGTAAGGCATCTCACACTGCTCCATCCCAGGTCTTGTCTTGCTTGTCATATGGATTAACTATCTTCCGGACAGAATCCCAGTGCAGATCACCATGTACCTTGAGGATTTCAAAATCTGGAGGAATGATGGATCACCGTGGATATCAACAATGCATAGTCATCCAAATACAGCCTTCCAATTAATGACAATAGATGTATGAGTACGTATTCCGACAGGACCTGGGATCATACTTTCATTGTGTTTAGTGCTTCAGATATTAATTGTGTCAATCAGCATAATATCCTAGGTTTCTGGATATTTACCTCACTCTCTCTCTCTCTTGTGCCACCAAGACTCGAGCAAACTTCTTTTGGGGTACTTAACTTCATCAAGCGCTCTGTCCCTTGTTTTGATAACGAATTTCAATTACTACATGGATTCAAAGTTGCATGTTCTTGACTAAAGTGCGATCGCGACTTACTAGAATTAGTTTTACGAGTTGCCAAAAGGCTCTCTCTGGCCCGCACCCAACTCATCATACCATAATAAACCTCCACCCCTTAGACATCCACCGCATCAGAGTGGATCTTCTTCTTCCTTACTCCTGATTATCGACGGACACGGCCAACAAATCGCTTACTTACTGAAACCCATAGACAATAAAACGTTGGTTAAGCATCGGTCTCCCACTTAAATCCACCATTCTTTCCCTACTCTTCCCATACCCACTGGATGATCCCTCTCTGAAACAAACTACTACTTCAAAGAGCGTGTTCAAATATAAGTTCCATTTTTATCTGGGAATAAGTAAACCTCAAAGTAGCTTCTAACCAGTGTGTAGTGTACTTATTCGGATTTCAGCTATTACGTTCTGTTTATTTTAATGTTTTTTTCTCGACTTAAATATTTATAGAGAGGAAACCGATATTAATTTATGAAAGAAGCAACACAGATATCACTAAAACCAGGTGCACTAAATGTCTTTTTTATTTCTAAATGCACTTTTTATTAAGACATTATGTGTAGGCGTACGTACATATTTACATACCATTCAGTTTCGCATAACTCTCTACTGCAAGTAGATATTATCTCCTCTCACCCCTTTCTCCTCACATTCTGACGCCTTTTCCTTCTGAACCTCCTTCTTGGTAACTTTCCAATAGTTTGTTCTACTCTCTTTACATTTCCAGCCTGCTTTAATAACCAAAAGAAGATTGAAACCATGGTGTCAATTTTCGAGGTTTTAACCAAGATCCCGGACCATTGGCCTAAAACTAATGGACGGTTAATCATATCCCGGAAGCAAAGCGTTTTGGCTAATTTTGGTGTTACTTGCAGACACAATGGAGTGTTTATTAAGCGAAAGCTGCCGACTGTTGGCAGGGCTTGATGCAACTAGGTCAGGACAGGGAATAGGACTTGTGGTCAAACCAGAAGAAGTCCAGTTTCTAGCATCTGTTGGGCTCAAAATGAGTGGCATGATGCTTCCACAATCGTTCCATGTTGCAGGTGTTTTCAAGAAAGTTAGATCTGTGAAACAATTATACTGCTAATGGGCACACGGACAACTGAACTATATCAGAGGTGGTTTCAAAGACGATGTGATAATTCATACCTCCATCGCTCAGAAAACCCATAAACAGAAACGAGCACTAGAACCGGAACTTGCTTGTTATATAAAAGCGGGATATGCATGAAGGAACGAAGAGCTTGGGGATGAAATAGATAGGTGGCTTAGGTGATGTTGCAAAAGGGCTAGAAGCATGACTATTAGAGAGCTAGATTGAGCAGAATTTTGAGGTTGTTGTAAGCCATGGTTCACAGAGTCAAACTCCTTCAGGAAATCTAGATAGCATACTTCAACCCGCTCACCCCTGTTGATAACCCTATCAGTCACTTCTTACACGTATGCGAACAAGTTTTTTAAGCAGAATGTACCCTGTTGGAGCCCGTCCTGAGCCTCCATCAGGGTGTTTTTCACTAAAGAATAGCTGACCAATTCGTCACAAATAACTTTCTTCATGACCTTGAGGACTACGGAGAACAAGCTCACTGGCTTGTAGTTCTAAGTAGCATCTCTATAAACCCCCTTAAAATAGGTGACGATGGTCGTCTTCAAGTCACTCTGGACGGTGGCTGTCTCAAGTGATCTGGTGCACGAGTGGCTGAAGGACGTGCTACAATACCTCTTAACGGCATTAAGATTACTGGATGTATATCATCGGGCCTTAAGGTTT